GAACTGAGCAACCCTCCATGCACCAAAATCATCACTGCGTTTCCTTGACTTCTGTTTTCTAAGAACTACATTTCCCCCATCACTAAGCAGCTGATTCACACCTTGCCCAGGGCTTCCCAGGGGAGTAAAATAACCAAGAGGAAATATAAGGGAGGGGGCGCAGAGTAGAAGCCAGGGGCCCCCCAGCCGGCCCTGGGGCCCGTGAGGGAGGCCGGGCTGCGGGAGCCCTGAGGATCAGCTCTCCTCAGAAACAAGACGGTCTCCTGTGTATAAACGGGCCAGCTGGGCTCAGTGGAGCCAGTGGGAGCTGTGCCCCTGGGAGCAGCCTGGGGGAGAGAGAGGTGACAGGGAAGGATCACAGGCTCAGAGCTGAGGTCCCGCCCCTCACGCCCCTGAGGAAGCCCCTCCCCGCCCGGCCTGGCGTCTGTGACTCGCGGGAGGAGTCTCTCACCTGGTACTTTGGCTCAACGCTCTGGATTCTGAGACTTTTTTTACATTGAAGTCACATCGCTTTATAAGATCACATAAGTTTCATGTGCACAACATTTCTATTCCTGTATCCACTGCAGTGTGCTCACCGCCAAAAATGAGTTGCAGACTCCCCACAGATACGCTGTAGGGGAGAATGCACACATCACAGGGGTGTTTAAAACGTAGAGTCTTGAAACTAATGTCATCAGAATACCGGAGAGTTTCAGCCTGTGAGCTTTCTGCGTGCTGGCCTTGGGCGGTCACTACCCGGTCTAGTCTCACTTTCTTCTCCTATGAAGTAGGAATAATTCCTCTTTGTGGGAACGTAACACGAAGCGCAGTTTCCATCCTGTCCAATGCCACAGTTAAACACGTACTAGTCCCCAGCCTCTTATCAGCAATTTCATAGCCACCAGGCTGCAGAAAACCACACATGATTTTGGTAACTCACGTGGGCAGTAATCTTGCCCTGTGCTGACCTGAGGCAGTTTACAGTCATTACGTTCTGTGTCCCTTAATGTGAATATTCACTTGTTTCACTGTGAAAACATAAATGCATTTCTTTACAGGCTGCTGCCCAGACTCTGCTGTAAATGATGACTAACATATGCTATGCGCCCTGTATTTATTTTGTGTCTAAAGGATTAAATTTTTTCATTTCTGAAACACATCTAAATGCCAGGAATTCCTTAAATGGTTCTGGAGCCTGACAGTGCAAGGCTGAGGAAGTGGCGGGTCGGTTTCTGGTGAGACCTCACTCCTGGGTGTCAGTGCCTGCGGCCGGCTGGTCCTGTTCTCACACAGGCTTTTCTCAGTGTGCAGAGAGACAGACAGACTGGCTTCCCTTCCTCTTCTAATAAGGACACCACCTTATTGGATTGGGGCCCCACACTTACGATCTCATGTAGCCATAATTCCCTCCTTAAAGGTCCTATCTTTAAATACAATCACTTAGGGGGTCAGGGTTTGAACATATGAATTTGGGGGGACCCACTTCTGCCCATAGCGCTGGGTGATTACACCAACAGCTCCCCAGGGGAGCGCTGCTCAGGAAGATGAACTGTAACCACTTTATATTCAACACCATTTAAGTTTCACCAGAATTTCTTCTCATCTTTTTCTCCTCTCTTCCCATCTAGATCCCGAGAGCTTCTTTGAGGCTGTTGTCAAATCTCTGCAGGACATACTGAGCAGAGAGGAACTGTCACAGCTGCTGACTGAAGTCCTAAATAGATTTGTGGCTGAGGGCAACTTGTCCAGGTGATGTGCATGGGTGCCCCAGGGATGTCACCCAAACCCCCCTCCCTTGCCTGGTTTCCTCCTGGCAGGCACACCTCCTCCAGGCAGTATCCGATGGTAGGGGTCAAAGATGTTCCTTCTCAAGAATGCATGAGGAATTTTTCCTCCATGTCATTTGCTGGTGGTGAATGGCCTCAGGTTGAGAAGAGATGAAACTGCAAGGAAGGGGCAGGTTATTACCTCGGACAAGTTACTTAACTAATCTCTGCCTTGGTTTCTTCATGTTCAACTTTATTGTGAGGAAACTGAGATAATACACGCCAAGTGCTTAGCATAATGGCTGACATGTAGTAGGTGCTCAGTTCGTGTTAACTTTGAAAAAGCTTGTTGGTAAGAGACCAATTCCAAGGGTCTTGTTCCTGGAGATGAGAACCGAGCAGGACTTCCTTTGGGACGAGTCAGCTTGTGTCCTGGGGGTTCTTTCTGACTGGAGACCTGGTATCCCCATCTTAGGAATTGTGCAGACACTGCAGGACCCGGGGCCCCTAGGGTGGAGAGGCCAGGGTGGAATTGGACGGAGCTGGGTTGGGTCCTGGCTCTATCCTGGCCCAGCACTGGGGCTCTGGGCTTATGTCCTGGATCTCAGATTTGTCATCGGTACAAAGGGAGAAGCAGTTCAATCTGACAGACTGTGGCGATGGCCTTAGAGCGGGGTCACAGGTGGGGAACCAAGTGCAGGCATGTCATGCAAAGGTCCAGGGAGGCCTGGACCAGGGTCTAACTGAGTGCGGAGGATGGAGCAGAGGGGTCCAGGCTGAGGGACTAGTTGGAAAGTGCTGAAAGTGGGTCAGGACGAGAGTGAGGGGAGGGACACAGAGCTGAAGGGGCTGTGACGCTGGCAGAGGTGCCGTGAGTGGGAGACGGGACATTTCTTCCCTCCCTGACTTGATCCCCTGGTGCTGGGCTTAGAGGACCCAGGGTGACTCTGTCCTCCATACGCTGCCTGAGAGCTGGGAGTTCTTGACTGCCATGTGGGACCCTCCTCTGTCCTATATAGAGTAGCGTGACCTGTCTGAATGCAGTGTGGCTTAGTGATGACTCTACTGCCACAATGAGTGGCTGCCAATTTTGTGTAGTTTGCAGATTTCTGAGGAGTCTGTCAAGTCCTCACCAAACAGGAATGTATTTCCTCCATCAGCTCATCCAAATGCATACAGAACTTTTCAGGCTTAGCAATTCATACAGTTGTTTCCTAAGATCCCTTGAATCTTTTGGAGGGTCCATCGACCATCGAGTTGCACATGGCCTTGGTGTGCAGGTATGTGAAGCTGTCACAGCTAAGGTGTGAGTTAGGCTGGTGAAACCTGAGAGGTCTGAGGTGCTGGGTGATGGGCTGGGAGTCAGTGAGGTCAGCTGGAAAGTCCAAGAGGAGCCAGAGTTAATAGCCTCTCCCCTGCTTCCCAGTCAGTTGGGGAAGTGAATGGACCCAGCGACCTTCAACTGGGAAGGTCAAGGGCATAAGGCTTGGAAGAGAGCATAGGTCAGGGACAGTGATCATTAACATCCCTTGTAGCTGTGAGTTTAGTGTTTCTTAAACAAATTCTAAGTACTCAGAGTCAGCAAAACTACAAAGTCTCAATGCACAGTCCCCAGATTGTCCTTACACCTGACAGTGATGACAAATTTGGAGGATGCCCCAAACCACCCTCCGGTTGGAGAATTCCCGAGAAGGATGCACAGAACTCCCTGACAGCTGGCACACTCCCAGGTCCAGTTCACTACAGGGAAGGATGCGGGTTCCCAGCAGCCACAGGGCAGAGTCTGGGAGGGTTTCAAACATGAAGCTTCTCTTGTCCTCAGGACGCATTACTGTCCTGTGTTCAGGGCACACGGGTCAGTGCCAACCAGGGTGCCCAGTGTGTTTAACAAAATGCTCCTGACAGTCCTTAACGTGATAAAGCAGGGTACACGCAGGACTGTGGTGGCAGGTGTGAAGCCCATTGCTGTGGAGCAGACACACTGGGCTCAAGCCCGAACACAGCACAGACACTGGCGGTTTACAGCCAAGGAGTAGAGTGAGGGGTGGTGGAGGGAAAATTACTGAGAGGAGACACCAAGGGGAGGGGATACCTGTTTATCTTTCCTAACAGGATTCTCGCTAAAGGCAGGCCAAGGGCGCATGCATCAAAGGTGGGAGATGAGGAATTGGATCAGATATCGAAGGCGATCAGACCTCAGAGTCAGGGAGACTCACTATGTGGATTTAGCAGGGTTCTTGCTGAGACTGGGTGATGGGGGCCATCGGGGACAGGACAGGCAAGGGGAAGGTGGAGGCCTGGTTGAGAAGAGGACTCAGAAGGGCCTGACCAAATTTGGGTCAAGGAGAGAGTCTGAGGCACCCTGAGCCTCAGGGCACAGGGTCCTCCTGGGGCTCAATCACAGGCTGCCCGCCCGGCTGACCTGTGTCTCCAGCCCCTCCCAGAGGTCAGACCAGTGCCGTCATGTCCAGTTCCCCCAGAGGTCAGGACTGACACAACATGATCCAGAGGCCGATCACCCATCACCCTGGCAGACGGCCCTGTGGTCAGAAGCGCAGGGAAACCAGGGCACGCTCATCAACCGGAACATTCTAGGGGGTTAGGGATCACGTTCCTAAGCCAAGGGCAGCAGCTGGTTGATTCCTCACTGCACCCTAAGCTTCTCTGAATGAGGGCTTCTCTGCTCCAGTCCCACTTCTCTGTGTTTACCTGCGGAGCTCCCGCTCTACAAGCACCTTGGAGGTGATGGTGTTGACCCGCCTCTGAGTCAGAAGGTGTCTTACCAAATACCTACCATGTAAAAGTATCCTAAGATGACTTTTGCTTATTTATTCCGAGTTTGAACAAGTATAGAGAGCCTCTCCAATGTACAAGATATGTGCATAATGTCGATAGAAAATCTCTTTGGTTTATAGTAAAATCTCTGTGATGTATCCAGGTTAAATCTTGTTGAGCCTAGTTTACAGGGAACCCGAAACTGCCTTCTTAACCCCTTGACCTTCTCTGTTACAGGGAAGAGGCAGATGCACTGCGTGAATACCTGAACGAGCTGAATGCAGACTTGGCCCTGAGCGACCGAGACATGCTGCTAAGGGAGCAGCTGAGTAAAAAGAGGTTTTTGAAAAGGTTTCCTCGGGTGAAACGGAAGCTTGAGGAAAGCATAAGAAAGCTGCATGATCTTGCAGACAAGGTGGACAAGGATCACAGGGACTATACCATCTATAAGGTGGCGGCCACCTCTGCTGGTGCGGTGTCTGGCCTCCTGACCATTGCCGGCCTGACTCTGGCACCCGCGACAGCGGGGGTCAGTCTGGCACTCTCGGCTGCTGCGTTAGGGCTGGGGGCCACAGCTGCTGCGACCAGTGTGGGTACCAGTGTGAAGGAACACAAGAGCATGTCATCAGCAGAAATCGTGGCCCATCGTTTGATGTCACCTGCCATCGAGAAATGGAAAGTGGTCAAGGAGGTTCTACAGCAGAGCACGCCCCGAATTGTTTCCACAGAAGAGAAACTCACAGAAGCCGTGCAACGCATTGAAATGAATATCCTTGCCATCAAGCTGGTCAGTGCCAACCCTGGTTTCCGTGAAGATCTGCTACGTTTCCTGACCACAGGACAGATCTCATACCAAAGTGGCAAGCAGTTGAGGGAAGTTCTTAAAGGCACAGGTCTGGCAATGGCCAAAGGAGCCCAGGTCCTGGCTGTGGCCTCCGCAGGCTCCCTCCTTGTGATGGATCTGGGCTACCTGGTGAAAGAGGCAATGCACCTGCGTGATGGGGCAAGGGCAGAGTTATCTGAACAGCTAAGGCAGCGGGCCCGGGAGCTGGAGAAGAGGTTGGAGGAGCTCACCCGGAGCTATGAGAGTCTGCAGCAGGGCCAGTGTCCCACCCCTGCCCCACACAGCAGACCAGGGAGCAGGGGTCCAGGTGGGGCCAAGAAGCAGAGTTAGCTTTAGAGAGGGAAAAAGAGCCAAATAAAACGTATGGACTTGGGTGTGGAGGAATTTGGCATTTCTAGGTCTGAGCGCAGCCGGGTAGGGATTCAAACAGGTGGCAGATGGTGAAAGACACGGGAGCTTGGAGTCTGGAATAATGGTGGAGGGGGGACGAGAGAGTGATGGGAAAAGGGGGAAAACCATGTATCATGAACTAAAAAAGACACTGGGGGCCTGAAGAAAGAGAGAGGCTGGAGGAACAAGCAATGAGAAGACTGCAAATGCAAAAGAGTTGCAAATGGGAGAAAGTCAAAGAGTTGGGACTGTTGGATTGTGGGAGAGGCGGCAGTGGCTCCTCTGTCGCCCCTCCCCTGGGTGTGATGTCCCTGCCAGAAGAGAATCTTCCCAGGTGGGGTCTCCAGCCCTATTTTCCACTGTCAAGACGCCTTTTCCTCCCAGCACTTTTATCTGAATTAGGCAGTGACGTCTTGATTATGGTGATGGTGGTGGTGGTGGTGGTGGTGGTGGTAATGGTTGTGATGACATCCATCTAATGGATGGAGTATTTGTCAAGTTGCCTGGGGCCCTTTGGGACCACGGTGCACTGAGAGACCAAGGCAGTTCCTGTGAAACCTCAAATGCTCTGTTGGAATAGAGGTTGATTTGGGAAAAAAGAAAGAAAGGAAGGAAGGCAGAAAGGAATTGAGGGTTTCTCCTTGCAGCAGCAGCTGGAGAGCAGAGTCTGAACTGCGGCAGCTGGAGTCATGACAGGACAGGCATTTAGAAAGTTTCTTCCCCTCTTTGATCATGTATTAGTTGAAAGGACTGCAGCCAAAACTGTAAGCAGAGGAGGCATTAGGCTTCCAGAAAAATCTCATGGAAACGTGTTACAGGCAACCAAAATAGTTGCTGGATCGGGCTCTAAAGGAAGGGTGGAGAGATACAAGCAGTTAGCCTGGAAGTTGGAGATAAAGTTCTTCTCCCAGAGTATGGAGGCAGCAATGTAGTTACAGATGACAAGGATGATTCCTTATTTTGAGATGGTGACATTCTTGGAAAATATGTGGACTGAAATGTCACTATGGAAATGGCATCACACGAAGCTGCCTGTTTCTGAAGTGCTGACACATTTTTATCGTGGAAATAATTTCCACATCTCCTTTATAATAAACTAATGACATGCAAGGAAAGAAAGGAAGAAAGGAAGGAAGGAAGAAAGAAAAGGAAGGAAGGAAGGAAGGAAGGAAGGAAGGAAGGAAGGAA